ACTTCCAACTGAAACTCTAACAAGAGCCTCCAAAAGATCTCACCCCCACACGACGGTAGACAAGATCACAAATAGTAAAAATCCCACCTTTATCACAAAACGAAGCCCTAGACAAACTTCCAAAATGATCTACTCCTTTAAATAGCCCAAGCGTAGCCCAGAGCTCTGATACCACTTGTTGGGGTTACTGTCGAGATCAAACACAAATGCCGAGAGAGAAGGACTAACAGAATCATAATAATGGCACAAACGCAAACAAACAATTTTACGTGGTTCGACAATTTTGCCTACGTCCACGGGAGCGGCACAATTAATTTCTTATTAATAACAAAAAATTACAAATAAGAGAGAGGATCTTAAACTTGAGATCTCTCAAACAAATAGCAGGTGATTTTAATCTAAAATCACTGCTCAAACAATCTCTTAAATACACCAATTAAACCCCCTATTTTTCACCAACTCCTCTTAATTAATGAGTACAGGACAAATGGGCTCAACTAATAGCAGAGAGAACGAGAGCCAAAAAATCGGAGAGAATAAATCTCCGCCTCAGCTTCTCTCTCCCTTCTTCTCTCTGCTCCAAATCGCCACCGCCATTCTAGCAGCGCTTTCAAAGCCGCTTCAAGCTGCACTCACAATGCGAATTTTTCCCTTTTGCTATCTCCAACCCAATCAGGCAAGCTCGACTTTAGGCGAGCACCGCAAGCGACAGACGAGTTCTCCTCCAGCTGGCGTCCACTCACGAGCGTCGAACTCGTGATCATACAGGTGAGCACGAATCTCACCTTCTTCCACTCGCCTTCAACCTGCCAGCAGGAGAGCTCGAACCAGCACCCCCGACCTTGCCATCAGGTGCGCAGATGACCCGCGACTTAACAGGCGAGTTCCATCATCGCCATCAAACCCTCGTCGCCTGTTCAACCTCGCCTGAACCACTTCGCCCCCTTGTTTAGGTGAGTTCTTCTACACCTATGTGATAAGAACCCTAATTTGGTTCCATAACCATCGACAAAATGCATGTGGAAACTCCATTAGATCATTAAAAAAGCAATCTAATCGCCCAAGAAATCTATAAGACCGAATCCCAGAAATTTGATGAAATTCATGTTGGACAAATAACAACCAAATCAAATATCAAGGCATGACAAACTAAAATAATTAATTAATTATTAATTAATGTTAGTTAGCTTTCTCATATTGTAAGGAATGTGAGAAATTCTTAGGCTAAAATATCTATTTTCGTTTCTTCATAATGAGTACTTTTTCCCCTATAAAAAGAGACTCTATGGTGAGATTAAAAAAGACAGAAAAAAGAAAATATTCCTTTCTCTTCTTCTTCTTCCTCCCTCAAATATGTGCTATCGTTTTCAGCTACTTACTCAATGAAAATCATCCTCAACGTTCACTATAGGGTTCCGGTGGAAAAGGGATCATATCGCTAAGAAGTATCTCGTCTTGGCTAATCACATGAGATTGGTAAATACCTCTTTAGAGCAGTGGTTCGCCACGCTTTCTCCGTGGCCGGTAAATTTGTTCCTTTAATTTTTCTTCAACAAATAACAACATTTGTGAATTTCAATCTAACAATCTAAAGAGGTAAATTTGCATACAGGAAGTGTAGAAACATACCTAAATGAGGGATCAGAACTTTTAGCCTTAATCATATTGGCTTGAGGCTTAGTCCATTATTCTTTTTATATGGCCTTTTGGGTCCACTCTTGCGGTAGAAGCATGATTCAGTTTGGTGGTTCTCTCCACCACATATGAGGCAGAACCTCTTCCCATTGGAAGCCCTAAGATTTTAACCTTGCTGGTTTGGATTTCTATTATTATTATTTTGATTCTTATAATTATTCTTGTTATGCCTCTTGAAAATTTTATTATGATTTGGCTTAAAGTGTTATTGTTTTTTCTTATGCTTATTTTCATTTAGATTTACTTTGGCTTTAATATCAACTTTTGATTTATTTCTGATTCTATGTTCATCCTCAATTCTTATTGATTGAATAGTCTGGATTAAGGTAAGGTCCCATTGTTTGTGTCTAAGCTCACTACCAAAATCAGACAGAGTAGGAGGGAGTTTATCAATAACACAAGCCACTCTATGATCTTCAGAGAATATTGTACCCTTAACTTGAATGTATCTAATGAAGTTTTGAAATTCATGAAGTTGTTCATTTATAGGCTTGTTATCTACCAGCATGAACCTATAAAAATTTGAGGAGCTAAACCTTTCGATTCCTGCATCGTTAAGAACATATTCAGATTCTAGGACATCCCATGGCGCCTTGGCGCCCTTTCTTTCACAATATATATCGTAAAGTTTATCATCAAGAGCACTCAAGATCCTATGGTAAAAATAATAGTCAATATCTTCAAGTGTTACTAGTTTGAACTAGGAGTTGTTGATTTAGATGCATGGGTTGTAAGTTTTGATACAGTAGTTGCAAGTTATGATGCAGGAGTCTTAGGTGAAGATGCAATAGGGAAACTAGATGCAGTTGTACCCTGGGATGTAGATCCTTCTATAGCTAAGTACATGCCTAGAGTAGTGACTTTGATTTAAGGTATAACAAGCTAAATTAATTAATTAATTATTAATTAATAATAGTTAGCTTTCTCACGTTCTCAACAATGTGAGAAATTCTTAGGCCAAAATATTTCTTTTCGTTTCTTCATAACGGGTCCTTTTTTTTCCTTATAAAAAGAGACCCTATGAGGAGATAAAAAAGGACACATAAAAAAGAAATTGTTCCTTTTTCTTTTTCTTCTTCCTCTCTCAAATATTAGCTATAGTTTTCTGGCTGCTTACTCAATGGTCTTCATCCCCAATGTGGTCTGCACGCTAGGGTTCCGGTAGAGAATAGATCATACCGCTAAGGAGTATCTTGCTTTGACTGATTGCACGAGATCGGCAGATACCTCTTTAGGGAAATAGTTTGCCACGCTTTCCCCGAGGCTGGTAAATTTATTCATTTAATTTTTCTTCAAAATATAATAATAATTGTGAATTCTAGTCTAACAATTCAATGACTTCAAGATTAATGTCATTTACAATATTTTTCACCAAAACCTAATATAAAAAACCCTAGCTACAACTGATCATCTATATAGTCTCAAGAGAATTCCTAATACAATGAAAAACTTCGTAATCAAACTTTCCTAATTAAAAATAATTCCTAATGGACTTAAATTATCCTAATAAAAAGATAATTTTAATAGACTTCTACTTTGATTAAAATATATTTTGTTGGTGTTAGTTATCTAACATGGAGTTATATGTGGATTATGTGGGGGTGTTAGGGTCCTCAATCTCCTTTAGACATTTAGGCTCTGAGCACCGAACTTCGTCCTTGAACAATATCTAAGAGGTCAAAGTTGGGATCTTCGATGGTTCCTCTGACAATCAAGTTAGTGAAGAGCTTGAGTGAAGAAGTAATATGAAGCAACATATTTTCTAGCAAGAGATTGCTTACCCTCAGCAGTAGACAGTAGTTTTCTTTTGTAGTAGATCCAAGGGGCAGACGGGTAACTTCGGTCGAGTCCAAGCAGACGGCTCAGTCATCATTTACTTTACAGGTATCAGCTGCAGAGGGGGATGAGTCACTCAGTCATTTAATGTGAGGGTGACAGAGTGTGCATAGTGTTAACAAGGTCCGATGAGTTTTAAAGATTTTCGGGGCTAAATATATGATGACTCTGATCATTTATTTAATGTGATGACAATCGACTGTCGGCGGAGGCCCGAGGATACACCACATTTTCAACTCTGCTTCACGAGATGGTCTTTTTGTTTTAATCTTGTGAGTAGACCAATAAGTACCACCTTTTTACTCGTCCTCAAAAGTTGTCGACCCGACCTTGTGGAGTGGAAAAGAGTGGGGTCGACTCGAATTGTGAGTCGAGTGAGGAAGCCTTTGAACTTGGCCCAAGTCTAGGAAGGGTGAAGCGCTGAAGCCGCTTGAATCGTTCTTCCCTAGTATGGGTGATCAGGTACTTAAGATGGGACACATGTTGGCTCGTTATTGAGGACTAACACTTAGCTATGTGTAGGATATAACACCTTTGTTGTGCAAACTCTTGTAATCACTGACCACGCTATTTCTGGTACTCTTGCCCAATGTGGGCTCGAGAATTATATCACTCTATCATATTGATGGAAAGAAAGGATGTTCTCATGAGTAGCTAGTCACTTAGATCTGACCTCGCAACAAACCCAATGGTCTTAGTTATAGACAACCCCAAAGAACCGTCTTTAATTGACAAAAGTAGTTGAGCCTCATTTAAAATAGTCTTTTCTAATTCAAAAAAATTCTTAAACTAGTTTTCTTTTAGATCAATATCTATATAGACCAACTCTAGTCTAGTTAAACCACAACTTCATATATTTCTTTTTTGAAAGATTTGCATATTAAATGCTGGAATGTGGGATACCAACAAACGCGTGTGATTTACAGTAAAAATCAGGACAAGATTTTGAGTAAAATTTGAAACTGAAACAGAAGAAAAAGGAAATAATAAACTTTGTTAAGGAGGGTAAAAAATAAAAGAAACTCGATCAGCATAAAAAAAAGAAAAAAGAAAATTCAATACTAATAGTTAGGTGGACGGATTGATGAAATTGATTACTGCTCTTCGAAGTAAATTAAATGACGAACACGTTCTTCTGTCCTTTAAAGTTATTGGTTCTAGAGTTGATTCCTCATCCATAATAGATGGAACAAGGTCACTACTGTTTATTATTATTATTATTATTATATGATATCTCCCAAAAGAAATATTCTTGCAATAATGAAAATTATCTGTTATCCTAGAATATATTGTTTCTAGAAAAAAATTGACTCTTCTCGATTCGTATTATGAGAATTATCCTTTGCTTTGGATCAGAAAAGTGATAAAATCAAGATATCAATCTCAGCTCGAAACACATTACTATTACAATTTTATTATTAATAACCAATAAAACTCATCATAAACTTGAATCTAACTTGAACCTTATATCAGATACAATCAAATCTTTTCTTTATTATTCATCATCAATTCAAATACATCAAAGATCAACAAGCTCAGTGTAAAAATGAAAATAAAAAGTACACAAAACACATAACGTACAAATCAAAAATGCTGTTGATACGCACAATCCAAATTAGGCCCAGCATCCACGTTAAGCAACCGAGCATATCTCTTAAAGAAGCCAATTCGATCGTTGACTCGAGCATCATTAGGGATTCCACACTCAAGGCCACCATTGACGATATTGGTCACCAGCCCAAACCCAGCCGTTCTGTTGGCCTGCAGATCAGCCTTAGTGGGCCTGTAACGCCCAACCATGACGTTGTGTGCCGAAGGTTTGGGTTTTCTTGGCGTCATCCAAAACCAGAGTGCGGTTTTAAAGGCGATAACGGAATTGTTAACGACGATTTCTGGGTCTTTTAGCCCGTCAAAGCCCAAGGCCTCACCTGCTGGGCCGTAATTGTAATTCCTACGACAGAAGAGTTAATAGGGAATGTTAATATGCACGAAGAAATACTTCAAAATTTTTATCGAGACTTCACTAATTGGTGAACGACGGACTGGATTTTTTTTTTTTTAAATGGTTTTTTTATTAGTTTTCGTACGGGAAAAAGTTACCGATAAAACATTTTGTTGCTGTCAATGTGCGGCCGGTTTTGACTCTTTTAAGTCATTGAACCGAATCAATTAACTATATGTTCCTTCCATGAATCGATAATCAACAATGGTCATGATAATAATCGCATCAAATATATGCTCGTATGCTTCACAAAACAAGGCGTATGTGTAGGCGTATGTAGTGGTGCTCCATTAGTTGATGGAGAGCACTGCGACTGCGAGCTCTTACCATGAGAGTTGCATAGGTCCTCTCCCATGGTAGGATTTGTTAGGGTAGCAAGGCCATTCCGTGTTGGTAGGGTCACAGTAGCTGCTCCCGGGGCTTATCTCTTCCTTGAAGCACAATCCCCACGCATAGGGCCCGTCGGGCGCAGTCGCCCATCCTCCTGTTCACACGATGACACATATGCTTCTTCAGTACATCTACGTATCTATCTGCAGGTACGACCTAGCTATTCATTTTGCAAAATGAACTCTAATATATAGATATATCTCGAGAAATACAGTGTTAATGTCCCTTCTATCTAAGTGCGCACATGCTGGCTGCTCATATAACGCGTTATATGATTTGATCACTTATTAGATGTATTGATTTGTACATATCATTAATAGAAGGGTTAATTGGACGGAGACACGATATAATATCACTGATTTGAATTTAATACCCCTTAGTTTTATTTTTTTACATATAAACCCTCTGGCTGGAGCTTTTGACTATTTTACCTCTATATAGGACTACTAGTTTCACCTGTGGCTGTATATATCAAAATTTCATCGAACAAAAAGTCAAAGTTAAAGTGATAATATAATAAAGAAAAAACTCTGCAAAAAAAAAATGAAACTACAGGAATAGGAAGTTCAGAATAAAATTACTGAAAGAGTCCTATGTCAATAAACTCTTAACACAGAACATACCCGTAGTCTCATGTGAGATCTGAGCCAGGAAAGCTGCGACTTCGCGCTTGCGAGTATCTACATCTCCAGTGGTACCAAACTTGGGGAATCGACATGCGGCTTCAATGAAGGCAGAGTAAGGGTAGAATCCCTTAGCAGGACAGGCGTTGTCATCTTTATGTAGAAACATGGATTTGTAAAGATCTTCAGAGATGATAGATGATACCGAGTAACGATATCGCGCGTCGACGAAGAAAGAACAGCAGAGAAAGAGGAAGAGAGCACGGAAGACGGAGGATGAAGAGGCCATTGCTTGAAGTTGAAGGAGATGATGGATGAATTGTTTGCTACTGAGAGAGAGAGAGAGAGAGAAAGGGAAGGTGGGCGTATACATATAGTGATAGAGGAGGCATTAGACTTTTGCTTTGTTTACGTGTTTAAGGATTGAATTTGTCACAAGAGGGGAATTGAGTGAGGTCAAAATTTGACCCAACTACGTACAGCGTCATCTGACCTGTCCACCATTTTTGGATCTAGTGGGTTGTTTGCGTGAACCCCACTAGCCTTTAAAAAAACAATGCGTTCTATAATGTTCTAAGTGGAGGTTTATTTATTTATTTATTTATTTATTTAAAATTCTGAGTAATTAAAAGTTTGTCTCTATTCTAGATAACATTAATTATGAGATAATATGGTGAGGAAAATGTATGATAATTTAGGGTGACAACATTATATTATAATTGGGATGGCCGGCAATGAATTGTATTAAATTAAGAAATCATTAGTTTGGTATGAAATTATAGTTGGGAATTTTTACTAGCAAACAAATTCAATGAAATTGGTCAGATTTTGCTAGAGAGTTGACTATTTCTCAAAGCATGGGATATGGGCTTCTAGTTGCCATGTGATTATATCGTGTGGAAGGCGTTGACTAACGCACTGTGTGGAAGGTGTTGACATAACGCATCCAATTTTGCCAACGATGAGGACTAGAGACACTAACTCCACGTCTCCACCACCATCCATTTCAAGCGCACAAGCCATTTTCGAGTTCCAAGAGAAGGAATGTACTCCATTCCTTTTTAATTAAGGGGAAAATCGTACAAATATTAGGGCCTGTTTGGATTTGTAAGGGGTGAAGGGAAGTTAAGGGAAACTGAGATAAGGGAAGGGAAGGGAAGGGAAGGGAGTTCCCTTCCCCATGGTTACACCCCAATTTGGGGGGTAACAAATTTTATACTATTAGGGGGTGAACCAAGGGGAACTAGGGTGAATTAACTTCACCTCCTAAGTGTTCCCAAACAAGGTGAATGGAGGTAAATGGTTCCCCTAACTTCCCTTCACCCTCATTCCCCTCAATCCAAACAAGCCCTTAGATAGAATTATGTAGGTTAAAGCTTAGGATGGATTTTACACAAAGCACCAAAAAGATCAGAAGGGTTTTGTAAAATTTACATTAATTCTATAATCTGAAATAAGATGGAACATGCAGAGTGTCTCACTCACTTTACATGTACACTACAATAAGAGTTGTATACGTCCACACTTATTTTATGACACATATAAAAGTGTCATTTTAATTTTAAAGAATTAAACAATAGTAATACAAATAAAAAGTGTATCAAATCACGACACTTATTTGTGTCATTATATATATAATTAAATATAATTGAAAAAGGCTAATAGTCCAACATGAATTATGAGAGTATTCATTAATGAGCTTACATAATAAATCTTAGATTTCAATTATGATGATGATTAAACATTTATGATGATATATAAGCTATAAAACTCCACAGTTAAGTGTGCTTTGGTGAGATTAATCCTAGAATGGGTGATCTTTTGGAAAGTTATAGCGTTGAATGATGACATTCTATCACCACTCTCGACATATATATGTGTCGTGACTTTTGTGACACATTCTCCTATGTGTAAAAAGACACTCTCTACACATGCTCTAACCACACTTTTGTGACACATTCTCCTATAGCGTTGAATGTGTAGCGCGCAGCGAAAATTTCGGCAGCACTTCGGCAGCACAACAAGAGAGTCAGTCGCAATAGGAATTCTTGTTTCACCAATGAAACAAGAACCTTAAGTAAAATATCTCAACCAAGTGAGATATCAGCTCTTCCTCTCATCAGTTCTAGGACTGGCCTGTCGAGGGAACCTAAATAAGCTATTACAAATCACACAAATAGCGAGACAACCAATTTTACGTGGTTCGACAAATTACCTACGTCCACGGGGAGAGGATGGGGAGATTCCACTAATTAAATCAAGGAGAGTACAATGGGTTACAATCTCACAAAACTCACAAACTAACCCTCAATCAAAGCTCTCAACTTGCTCACAATATCTCCCTCTTATAATGCTCAAAAGTCTCTCTAATCTCTGATTACAACTCTCCTCTCTTTGATGATTGATTCTAATCTCCATTATATATAGAAAAACTAAAACCAAAACAAACTAGGAATCCTAAAACCAAAAACAAAACAAATTAGGAATCCTAATAACCTCATGTTACCAAAATAGATTAGGAATCCTAATAACCTCATGTTACCAAAATAGATTAGGAATTCTAATAGATTAGGAATACTGTTATCCAACAATTCTCCACCTCGGCAAAGTATTCCCAAAACTGAACCAACACCAACATGAGCACCAATGTGTCGTCTCACCAAATTCGGCTGTACCAATATGGTTGCCTACGCACCCCCTCTCCCAAGGAATCAAGCCGCCCGTAGTTCATCCAAATGGCCGTCAATAGCCTCAACAATCACGAATGTGCAACAAGTTTTGATAATGATCAAACTTGTTGCTCGAAACCACCTTAGTGAGCATATCCGCCGGATTATCCTTCGTGTGGAATTTCACAATCTCCACATCACCATCTTCAAGAACATCTCGAACGAAGTGATAACGAACGTCGATGTGCTTTGTCCTCGCATGAAAAAACCTGATTCTTCACCAAATAGATAGCACTCATACTATCATATTGAATAGTGACGGACATCTGCGATATACCAAGTTCTTCCAAAAGTCCTTGAAGCTAAATAGTCTCCTTCACAGTCTATGTTATCGCCATATACTCTGCCTCCGTCGTAGACAAAACCACCATAGACTGTAAGGTGCATCTCCAACACACCGGCGCACGCGTTAAAGTAAACACATACCCCGTCGTAGACCGACGCTGATCTAAATCCCCGACATAATCCGAATCAACATAACCAATGCATAACTGCCCACCTGTAGTGTCTCGCTCATAAACCAAACCAACATTGAGCGTACTTCGAATGTACCTTAAAATCCATCTCACGGCATCCCAATGACCCACTCCTAGATCGTGCATGTATCTCGAAACCATGCTCACCGCCTGTGATAAATCTGGTCTCGTACATACCATCGCGTACATCAAGCTCCCAACCATGCTCGCATATGGAGTCTTCGACATCAACTCTCGATCTTCAACTGACTTCGGTAAAAGATCAGCTGAAAGCTTCAAATGGGCTCCCAATGGTACACTAAGTGGCTTCGTATCCATGCTAACATGAAATCGCTGTAGAACCTTCTTCAAATAAGCCACTTGTGTCAAACAAATTCTGTCCTTCTTCTTATCTCTGCCGATCTCCATCCCTAAAATGCGCTTCGCCTTACCCAAATCCTTCATCTCAAACTCCTTTGAAAGCTGTGCCTTCAACTCATCTATAGCAGATCTGGAAATAGAGGGAACCAACATGTTATCGACATAAAATAACAAATAGATGTACGCACCTCCTTTCAACTAGTGAAAAGATACACAAGGATCAAACTGGCTCCGAGTGTACGAATGACCAATCATAAAACCATCAAATCGCCTATACCATTGTCGAGGAGACTGCTTCAAATCGTATAGCGATTTCTTCAACCTACAAACCAATTTTTCTTTCCCTGCAGCTCAGAATCCAATGGCTGAGTCATATATATTTCTTCATCAAGATCACCATGAAGAAATGTCGCCTTCACATCTAACTGATCTAACTCCAAACCATACTGTGCCACCAAAGCTAGCAAAATCCGAATCGAAGAATGCTTTACCACCAAAGAGAAAACCTCATTATAGTCAATACCTTCCTCCTGTACATAGCCCTTCGCAACCAACCTAGCTTTGAACCTTAATGGAGTGCCTTCAATGCCCTCCTTCTTTGTGTATACCCACTTGCAATCAATTGCCTTCCGCCCTTTTGGAAGCTCAACCAGCTCCCATGTATCATTCTTATGAAGAGACTCCATCTCCTCCTGCAAAGCTACCTGTCACGAATCAGCCTCCGAACTCTGCTCGGCCTCTCTGAATGTAGTAGTCACCATCTCATCGATACTCTCCACCAGAAGTACATACGCAACTGTGTCGGCATACCGTGTTGGCATTCGTATATCTCTCCTCTGTCTCTGAACCGCAGTAGAATCCTGAACCTGAGCCGTCGGTCCCTGATCCTGCACATCAGTACCTGTATCCTCCGTGTCACCGTCGTGCTCGCCTGACGTCACCTTAGTCGGTACTCTAATAGATATTGTACCATCTGAACAATGTAGAGTTGCATCGATCTTCACCACCTGCGATATCTTCTCCATCGGATCGCTCTCCACCTGATGAGAGTTGGGAAGCTTCAAGATAGAAGCCTCATCAAATGTGATGTCTCTACTCAGCACAATCTTCCTATCAACTGGATCACATAGCTTATATCCCTTGACATCACGCTTGAATCCTATAAATATGGCCTTCCTAGCTCGAGGTTCCAATTTATCTGTTCTCACATAACAAAATATAGAGCACCCGAATACCTTGAGATGGTCATAGTCGTGTGTTAGCTCTCCCGACCACATATCTATAGGGGTCTTCCCCTCAATGGCAGATGAAGGCAGCATGTTAATGAGGTGACTTGCATATGTAAGTGCCTCAGCCCAAAAGATCTTCTCCAAACCACTCTGCGATAATAAACATCGGATCTTCTTAAGTGCCTCAGCCCAAAAGATCTTCTCCAAACCACTCTGCGATAATAAACATCGGATCTTCTCCAGTAAAGACCGATTTAGCCCAAAAGATCTTCTCCAAACCACTCTGCGATAATAAACATCGGATCTTCTCCAGTAAAGACCGATTTAACCTCTCTGTCATCCCATTCTTCTATGGTGTATGACTAACCGTGAAGTGCCTCTCTATGCCCTCGTTTTGACATAGCTGCAGAAAGGGATCTGAAGTATATTCACCATCATTGTCGGATCGCAACATCTTGATCTTTCTCTCAGTTTGTAGTTCCAATCTCTTCTTCCACTCCACGAATAAATCTAGGACTTCATTCTTATGCTTCATGGTGTACACCCAACAATGCCTAGAATAGTCATCTACGAACGTGA